CTTTTTATAATATATTGCAAGCAACGAGTGAATTGGTTGATAAAGTAGGATCTCTGATTGATCTATATACTTCTATATACTGTAAATTCACATACTTAGAAGGCAACAATACCTGGACAGCTAAATTTCAGTCAATTGAACAGGTAGATTGCAGGCGGCAGTGGATTGCTTACTTCTAACAGGGTGTGGTGGGTGAAAAAAAACGCTAGTGCCCGACGTGATCAACAAGAACATCGGTCAAGCGTTGCATCAACGGCTCGGACTGGGTGTGAAGATACCAAAAAACTTCATCAGAGCGCCACCGACCAAGTAGTTTGATGAGACTAGTCGGGATATTGCCTTCCAGAAGCGCGGTAGCCCCGGTGCATCAAAGAGCACCAATTGTGGGAGCTCAATTGGCCTCCACGGAGAGAGCAGTTGCTCTCAAATATTTTGTCATCATTTGATCTGTGACATTGCAAGGGACTCCAAACTCGGAGTAGTAGGTGAACAGGGGGGTGTCGCCAGTTGTGTGTTGACTCTGTCAAAGGTGTCGGACAATGGCAATCAGCGTAGCTGTTGGGTTGTCACCATTAAATGATGTGCCCAAACCGATCTTTTTGTCTGGCACCGCATTTTTTTGTTTGTCAAATATCAGACCGACGAATGTCACCAATGACGTGTCCAGGAGGCAAAGGGGAATGACGTCGCCACAAAATTCTGCGTCATTGATACCGAAAAAACACTTGCTTCAACTTGAAGGGAAATTGCGCTCCCGCTTTTGACAGAAATTCGCCAGGACGTAACAAAAAGAAAAACCCCAACCACATCAATCGATTCATTGCCTTTGCGGCATGTGTACTTGTGGGTTTTTTGGCGAGCTTTGATGCTTGCCTTAACAAGGACTTTGGCAATGGGCGTACTCGTTGTGCTGCTGGATCCTCTTTCTTCCAACTTTTCAGCAGCCGTGTCCAACGAAAGTCCATTGTTCCTGGTGCATATCGGTTCATCCTCGGATCAAGCAGTCCCAATGAGGAAAAGGCCTGGCCCACCTGGCGCATGGCATCTTCAGCCGTTCGACCCCGGACCTGTCTCTTACTGGGGGCAATTTTTCCACGTCACCATTGAGTTCCAAAGAGGAGGATGATGAGCAAGGGATCATCGACCGCTGACAATCCTGGGTCGAGGGTGAGGCTGTCGCAGAAGGCAACCCATGTGGTCCAGACAGAGTGTGCCTTTGCAACTCTTGAAGGACAGACTCCGCGTTCGATTCCGAGTTCAACAGCACGGATGTCATCAAGGAGTTCACAGCGTTTGGCATCCTGTACAGTTGCCAAGAGTTGATCTGTGGATACGTGCGATTAAAATATGAGATAAATTCGGCGTCAGACAGGTGCCACAGTCGGCGAGCATCGTCGGCCATTCGATTGTTCGTTCCACATAAGTGCCCAATACGATGATGTGCTCTTTGTTCCCGCTGTAATCCTGCCGCTAACCATAATATTCTTGCTCTTGCCTTTCGAGAGGTGGATGATCCTTTTGTGCGCCACGACACTGCTGGTGTGTTATCGCAGCCAGTATAAGTGGTTTCGCCTTCCACCTGGGCGGTCTTTCCAAGGACAAAATGATGGAGAACGGTGCCTTCCAGCTCCAAGTCTGAGTTGGTAAGTTTTCCTGTCAGATTGTGATCTGAAATAACCTCTTTTTTCACTCCTTCTTGATATGGTTCGCGCCAGACAATGGCCTCTCCATCGTCGGTGAACCACACTCCTCCCCTTCCCGACTTTTCCGCATCGCAAGCGCCAACGTGTAAGTCAACGCCTGGTACCAGTTCTTCAAGTGTTGTGGGGCGCTTCGCATGGCCATGAAGAAAATCTTGGAAGATTTCCAGTTGCTCACGGACCTCAGGAGTCAA